TTCGATGCAAGAACCTACGCTGATAATATAAAATGGCATACTTAGTATACTGGATTACAAGGATGTTCAGAAATGCTTCCCTGTTGTGTAAATGACTTCAGCTTTCAAAAGGGAACACGCCTCAGAGATGGCGCAACAACGACACAGAGTTGTATAGCTATGTCAAAAGCACTTCCAGTGATGTGCACTGTTATGCTTTAATGCGATGCATCACTCGTCCGTACAACAAGAGTTGGCTTGAGCACAAGCATGTCACAGTCGCGAACCTTACAATAGTATTACTTAAGTGCCCAATTTCATTGTGTAGCGATGTTTATCTAGAAGCTAGGTTGCTGTCATGTAGGAGCGGTGAGCAAATGGCCGCGATCGTGTCACACGGGAGGAGAATGTGGACGATGGAGATGCCCGGGGCCAGCAGACACGCAGTCCTAACGACGCGTGCGTCATTTCTTGCTTTACGTGTTCCCACCATGCAAATGCACCAATGGTGCACTTGCAACCATCCGCCTTCACTAGGGGTTCATGTAATTCTCTACTGCGTCTATAGCCTGAAATGGCGGCTCTCATGAGGTGCCTCCACGAGGCGCTGGATGGGGACGACGAACGGGTGGATGCTGTGCGCCAGTTTGAAAAAGTTCTCGGCGTGCACTCCGTTGTTGCGGCATGGGACTTGTTCCGAGGTGAGAAATCTGGACTATTGGTTGCAGAGAGTAAATCGCGAGTTGTGTCAAAAACGCGGGGCGGCGATGTCCCTGTGCAGTGCCGAAAACAGCTGGAAACATTGCGAACGGTGTTTTGAGAGACCGTGTGTCCTTACATACACCCCCTCCTATGCAGAAGATTTACAGCTCTCCCCGTTTCGTGCCGCCACGGCACTGAGAGGGAGCGTACCGGGCCTTACCGTCTAAGGCCATAGACAACAGAGGGTGGAGGGAAGTGTTACACGTGCGAGCAATGTGGTGACTACGATTTTGGATTCCAGTAAGTCGCGTGACAAGCTGAGCCTCACTCGTGTGATACATGGTTTGTGCTGACCCAGTTGGTGTGTATTGATGTACAGGTCAGCAGAGATGGCACGTCTCTTAAGGGCAGAGCAGCTTGTTCGGGGGTCGGTTCACAGTTTCGACGGATTGACAACTTGTTGCTGGATATTCAAGACAGGCACCTGTATAGTTGCTGTGGTGCGCTCTGTAGCTGAGGCACAGCCCCTGAGTGGGCGGCTCGTTGAGCAATGTGCATTGGAGGTCACAGGCAGGAGCTGTTTGCTGCGGGGCACTACAACCATGGCTGGCAGCGACGACAGCTGCAACAACAGCAGCGGCCCAGTACAGCCCAATTCCGGGGCTCCACAGTGCAATTCGAATATCTCCGGCGAGCCTGCCAGAACAATTCAAGACCCCGACGGACCAATTCTTTTGTCAGGAATAAAATCCAGGCTAATTCTGCGACAGAGCCCTTCCCCAATTCCAGCCCGGATCCTACCCTCCTTTTTATTTAACCTATTGCACATGTCACATTGGCGCCAGAGGTCGGCAAACCCTGAATAACTGTCACGGGTACTGGTGCCAGGGTCAAATAACTGTATGGAAATTTTTAAGCAGTTTCAGATAATAGGCAACCAGGGGTAAAGATGTGCCGCTATAAGCATTGGATGGGTTTGCCCAAGCATGGCAGCGGCTATATCTCGCCAAAACAGCACGTCACGCTGATGCGCTTCAGGATGTGTGTTTGGCCTTTGGCGGTTAATCGACCGCACGGTAGGGAACGGTCTGCCCGGTGGTGCCGGGTCTGTGGGAACCGGCAAGCTGTTGAAGATGAATGTCATGTGCTGCTAGATTGTCCTGCGTATGCGAATATCCGTTTGAAGCTTTGGGACCTGGGGGTTACTCCTGGGGACCGCATGATTGAGATTATGGGCGTCAAGGATCAACGCGGGTTAGCGCGCGTCTTGGACGACATTAGAAGATGCAGGTTGCAGTACGTTGAAGATTAATCAATCTGATATTGTTGGGTATTAGCATTTTTTCTTTTTTGAGTTCCTGTTTCCAGTTTGGCGGTTCATGAGCCTTTTGGCTCGTCTGCACCGTACAAGCTTGAAGCTTGTAAACGTAAACGTAAACGTAAAAGCAGCCCCTTGCACAATTGTGTCCGGTCGCAAATTAAATATAATGTACACAAAATTAAACATAAGAACAGGAAAGTCGTTCAGAGCCGTGTGGGTGACATGGACGCTGCTGATGGCACGGAATAGCTTTTTGCTGCGCATACGGCCGTGGGTGGTATGCTGCTCCTTACAAGGACTGCTTGTAGCGTGCTCGGTTGAATGCTCGGTAGCGTGCGAGTTTACCTATCATGATGTTTGTTTGCATATCCCTCCAAGCGAGAGGGCTTGGACCTATGCTGATGTTCGTTACAAGAAGTGAACTGAGGACTGATGCTACACGTCATGTATACGCGTGGCTTAGCTTGCAACGGGACGCGCCCACGATGAAAGGTATGCCGTGAATTAGCCCGTGCGCCGAACACCTTGTAACCCTTCAACTACACTCACAATATACCGCTGCACTATTCTCTCCACTCCTGCCACATCATGTTTCACCGACATACTTCCGCACCTTCCGCATCTATATACTTTTCTTACGCGGTCAGCTGCTTCACCAGGACCCCGGTGTTTTTGGTAAAAGCCGAGTCTGCGGGTCGTCAATTGACTGTTCGTTATGAGAACCTCTCAAAGTTAGCGTTTACCTCCTTGTAAAATGGAAGGTTTGGTAACCTAATGATGAAGTTTATAGCTTCAAAACTGCGCAAACCTGCCTTTTGGGGGGAATTTCTGCACCCTGTCGTACGGCTGCCGTACCCGCGATGAAGAATAGAGTTGAATTTCTGCAACGGGTACAACGGAAGGACCCGCTGTACCAGCGGCGTCTGCCGACCCCAATTTGGCGCCCCAGTTATAGCAGCGCCCATTTGAACATGAGTTGTCATTATGTTAGCCCCAATCAGATGTAAAGAGTAGTCGGTTGGATGGATGGATGTTACAAGCTTCAGCGAGCTCGTACGGCCGTAACGAACCCGGAGGCTCATGAACCGCTTTGACTCCATAGGGAAAAAGAAAAAAAAGAGAAAAAGTAAACGAAACAAACAAACAAACAAAAAAGTTTTACGCGAGAAGAAATCGAGTGTTTACGAGAAAGAAAAGCGTCAATTTGACTCTGAAACACAATTGCCTGTTATCGCCGAGAAAGTTAGGTAGCTAGGTGCTCATGCCGGGAGCGAAACATCTCAAAAATTGCCTTTGCAAGACCGCGCTGATCATCCACTTGCATGACATCACGGATATCCGCATTGACGGGCACACCGAGGTCCCAGAGCTTCTTTTTTTTGTTGTTACATGGTCGTGGGTGCGTTCCCCGTACCTGCAAACCACCCTAGTACGAGCCGAGGGCTCAAGGGCTGCCAAATCGCCTATAAGCACCATCCTACCTCGCACTTCCAACGAAACAAGTGATGAGGTATACTAACGACCAAAGGGAATGATAGAGTTACGGTGGGACCATATGCGTTCCAGCATCCTTGCCAAGCATTCAGGTTCCCACTTCATAGCGTCCTTCATATGTTCGAAGCGTGGAAAGCCCATATCAGATCTGATTTCGTCGTACACCGGACAGTCCAGCAAAATGTGTTTCTCATCCTCGATATGGCTATCAGTGCCGCAGCAAGGGCATACTCGCTCCTCCCTAGGTATATAACGCCGTCCCTTACGCGCTCTGTTAGCCGCCAGTGCCCAACAGCAAAGCCTAAACTGCATAAGCTTGCGATTCGCCGAACGCGGGATAAACGTTGTGATATGCGGGAGCACCTCCTTCCTGCCCGCTTGCTCGGCCGCCAGACCCATCCAATGCTTATACTTCGCCATGTGGATTCCTGGTTGCTTGCCGACGGATACACGTCAGGCTGGACATCTAAACCCGTATGCTTCCAACCACTCACTAATCGGTCCTTGAACTCCAAAATCACACCTTCTGGCATTGGCCTGTTCATCAGCCACTCCACTCGTTCGTCTACCTCATGTAGCCCTTGCGGGGCCTCCTTCCATACGTCGTGCCCCAAAAAACATAGAAAACGGAGGAGTAGTGTCCCCCATCCGGCCCCTTCGGGGTTGGAGAGGGATTCTGCGACCTCCTGCTTCTGACGCGCAGACACAATCGCCGGACATTCTACCAAGAAATGTTTCTCATCCTCAGTAGCTCCATTGCTACAACACACAGCGCACACGCGATGCTCCCTAATCCTGTTGCTCTCACTGTTTACCGCCAAGTCGGAGACACACAAACGAAAACGGATTAGGGCACGATGATGCGCCAGGGGGATATAACCCGCGTACGGCTTCGGTGGCCCCATCCAGTGCTTATGACGGCACATCTTCACGCCGGGCTTCCTACCGTCCGTAACGAAAACTCTAGGGTCCACAGCCAGCCTATAAGAGTAGTCGCTTGAGGGTTGAGCTACCCCAAATCCGTACTGCAACTTCACCGTCTTCGTCCAGTTTGCCATCTTCCCCACTTTGGTTTCTGTAACAACATATCTATGATACCTGTTTGGCGAGCGGAAAAACTGAAGATGCCTATTATGAAGTACTAGCTGACAAACGTGTTTCCAAACTGGAAAGGATGCGGCGTGTCATCTGCCTAGGAAGCAGTTAAAAAAGCGCTTTACATGCCGCATGTGGAAATAGTGTAACTATATGGACCTGGGCCGGCGTCAAGGACCATGAAGGCTAGCAAAGCGGGAGGCAAAAAGCTAGCAGCTACCGATACTGACTCATCTGTCGACCAGCCTAGGTTACCATGGACTTCGCGGCTCTGGGCATCTGTGGGACTACCCTGGATTATGTGAGAACCTATCATAGCATATCTTGTCCTGTTCGACAAGGCTTTCATTTTTCACGACGCTTTTGTACTCTCTACGATGTCCTCTACAGGACTGGAGTTACAACTTACATGTTCTTGACGGTGCTTGGGAGGCAGTTCATCCACAATCCAAAGGGCCTCGACGTGCTTCGGGAGCAGGTGGGGCATCCTAGATGTGGATTATTGACTACGGAGAGGCTGTTGTAGGCTCGCTTAGCTCTCTTTTAGACTCCGCCGGCCATGGGGGGGTTACTCCATCCTGCTGCGAGAGAGCTCTCAGGAGCCCAACGGTGGTATGTTCATCTTCCCTCACCCCTGCACTGGTTTGGAGACTCACAGCCGTATATCTATCACAGTAGCTGGACAGCATCCTTCAGGACATTCGCGCATATGCTGATCGGGTCCGGTTGCTTTGCCTCACGCCCTCCTCTTCCCCCCAAGCTTACCAGCGTCTCTTTCCTCCTTTGGGCATCTCCTAAGGACATGTAGAATTTTAAAGGTCCTTCTCCCACCCTCCCGACCCCTGGCAGCTGTTTCCAAGGCTTGACTCTAAAAATCCCAAAACCCCGGAACAAATGTACGGACGGACACACGGTTTCGTACCGGGTGCTGCGTTCAGCCAGTCTAGTTTGGGAAGTCACCCGGCCCTATGGTAATTGCATGTGCCAAGAACCCCCCACACACACTGGTACACTCTTGCCCTGGCAGCACCTTCACTCGTTCGTGGTTCGTCTTTCCCCCCCACACATTCCCTGGCGGCCCCAGATGAGGGGGCCGCTCATGCGTACTTTGCCACTAAGGCCCTACCACCGCGTTCAGCAAGGACTTTATGACGGGTTTCTGTTTTACGATCCGTTAGCTGGTGTTGTTCTCACACATACAGGCAAATAGGCAGCGAAAGCACGCAGACAGGTAGATGGATAGACAGATGCACAGGCAGAGAGGCACAAGGCAACAGAGAAAGGTGGACAAACGAATAGACACACACACACACACCACTCGACCAGTTCTTCCTTCGGGGCGGAGAGGAAAAACTAGCAAGGAAATCACATGAGGACGCTGTACGGAGTACGGTCTACATGGGCTGAAGACACCAAACCTTGCACCGAGTAACAACGTGCACCTCTCCCCCTCCCATCCCCTTCCCCCACCCTTTTCGCCCGGTCTCCCGATTACCACGGAAGAAGCACCAGCCCTGTAGACGACATCGTAGAGAGCACAGGCCGCGTGGTTACTCAGTCCCGCAGGGACCGCCCTCTAGTAGCTGTCCCTTGGAATCATCCGGGCCAAAATAATTTAACACCCCACCCGGCTTCACACCCCGCTAGGGGCACCTCCGCCCGTTCCGTTTACCTTAACGTCCTAAACCCTCCAATGAAGCCCCGGGCCCATTGAGAGGCGCTGCTGTTGAGCATTCCGCATTGCCAGCTTCTGCCTGCCTTTTATTAAACGAACGGAAGAAGTAGAATGTGCATGCGGGTGGCCCTACATGGAGGGCGCATGTGCGGGACTCCAACGGCATCGCGTGGCGTGGGGGAAAAGGGGTGAGTTAGCCTGTATAGAAAGAAAGTATGTAGGGAATTGGGTCCGGCCCGCACACCCTGACCTGCGGACTCTATTCGGCCTTTGCGGTGATCTGTACGTGATTCACCTGATCACGTGATCACGTACAGATTCACCTATATGCCCTATTTGGTTGAAGCAGGACACTCGGACTCAACGCTGAGTGCGGTGCACCAGTCACAGCAGCACTAGCAGCAGTGGTAGCTTATTATGGCAATGCCGGGGCCCCTGAATATGTCTGGCCCATCAACACACTCGCGTGTCGGCCATAATTGTGCGCATGCCGCGCCCTTAAAACGCAAGGTCACATTCATATTTCGCCCGTGTACTTGTGTAAGCCGGGCATTCCACAAAAACATGCATTTCATCTTCCATCGCCCCACAGCCGCAAAGCCTGCAAGGCCTGCGGTGCGCTCACGGCCGTTAGCCCAATTAATCTCTAACTCCCAGCAGCATAACCGGAAACGCATAAGCGTTTGATGCAAACGTTGGGGCATGGCGGTTCCAGCGCGGGCCAGCCACTTGTGCCGCGTGCCCCTGAGCGGGGGTGCCCCCATCCAGTTCAGATACCGATATGCCTTGACGCCAGTACGTCCACTTGGGAAAGTGCGTGGATTACCTAGGGTATTCGGGCACTCCCACCGGGCGTCTAGCCGACTAGCGAAATTTTGAAGTATGCTCCCACTGGCATAGTGCGCTATGAGGTCGTTACCACGCAGGCCGGCTGGGAACTCAGTTCCCAAACTCTTAAGGAAAGCTAGGACCTTGCTCGTCCAGCACTCAGTAACACCCCCAGTGCTAGCTGAAGGTCGACAATGAAGGCCCGGTGGCACAGTGTCCCCGGCCTCTAGTTCCAGAACCTTAGCAGCACAAGGTTGGCCCAATGGAACTGGAGCGGTCTCTGTGACAGCTGACAATAAAGCGAAACCCTATAGTAGGGCTCCTCGCTCCTACCACTGACCGCACATTGCGCTCTCGAAATTCACACTAATAAAATTAGGTCCCTAAACTTGCGTCGCCCATACGAAAAAACCGGCACAACCAGCGCGTTATAGAAGGACATGCACAGCTTTGGGGTAGTAATTTTCTTATCCCGACACAGGGCACTGAGGCCAAACGTGGCCCGTTTTCCTGCCGCTAGTAGTTGTTTGGTGCAGGCTGAGAGCTGCGTGCCTGGGCCGTAATGTAGCCCGAGATACCGTGCCGTCTCGTTGCCAGTCAGTACCCTCAAACACGCCCCGCTCTTAACCGGTACTCAGCTTCTATAAGGCGCTTCTGCCCCCGTGCTGTGCCCCCGAAAATGAGGACTTCACACTTGGCGGCGTTCTCGGCCATTCCCGTCACCTTGCAAGGAGTCCGAGTAGTAAGCATTGGGTTCTCTCATGGCGCACCACTAACAGAAAAGCAAGTTGGTGAGCTCACCGCCCGCCAGGCTTACACCCTGCTCATGGAGGATGCTCCATCGGTCAGGAAGGCGCACACGGCAGTCGGTATCGTGGGCCTCAATGTAATGAGCGAACACCTCAATGAAGAGTTCGAAAAGGGTGACACTAAGGGGGCACCCTTGCTTTACGCCCCGCCCCACGGAGAATTCGGGGCCCAACTGACCACCCAACTTGACCCGAACCTTCACGTCTGCGTAGCTATTCTTCAGTGAATTGAGAATACGACCGTGTAGCCCGTACAACCCAAGGAACCGCCAGTGCGTCTCATGGTCGACCGAATCAAACGCCTCACTGAAGTCAATTTGCATGAGGATATGCGGCTTAGCTCCGGCCGCCGTGTGCTTAGGAATGAGATGCCACAGTGTAAACAGGCGGTGCTGACTTCCGAAACCATGCCTACAACTCGCCGGCTAGCGGCACGAAGCCCATTGTCTTCGCAATAGACGGAGAGGTACCTGCAGGCAGGAAAGTTGTGCTTGCTTGCGCGGGAGGGGGCGAGCCTGGTTACCGATGCGACTCTGATGCTGTACGCTGTAGATTAGGGCAGAAGCCGCAGCGGAAACCTAACACTATGAACTCACCATACTCTTTCCGTCGCACTACTCCTACGACTTACCCTAGCCCTGTACGGTCCAGCCGTAGGCGCCAACGACATTCAACCGAGTACGCTCGCTCTCGGCAAATACACAGAAAGCCTCCTTGGTTTTCTTTCGTTTCATTCAGAAAACCTGCAGTTGTTGGATGACTCCCGAAGGCAACTGAACTCTGTATGTACCTTGTCATGTGCTTCAACAGTACCTTGGCCGGTTGACGCCCAACCCAAGATATTCTCACTCTCCCCCTCCTACCGCGGACCCACATCGCAATCAGAAGTTATGGAACCATGGCCTTTTGCGGTATACGCAGGTGCCTGTCGCGGTGTACGACCGGTCCACCTCCGTCTTCCTGACCGCCCTGGCGATTGACCTGCTCAACATCATCTTCGAGCGCCAAACCGTCAAAATGGATTGCGTCCTGCTGCCCACATTCATTAAAGGTAAAGGCTAAGGCATGGATGAACAAAAGCGGAGGGGTGGAAGCAGCATGCCTCCGTGCGGTCGTACTGCCATGCCGTGTCGGGACCGGTCCGCCCACCCACATGTCGACGGGTCTGCAACCGGACGCATAGCAGGTGTCCTTACCGGCCTTGAAAATGCAAAATGTAACCCCACCCCACCCCACCCCACCAGAGAGTCGGTCGCCCACATCCTTACAAGGGGGAGGGCACTTTCCCTTGTTGCTTTTTCTGTTTTGTCAAGATGATGCTGTCAAGATAAAGCAGCTCACGCGCCTTCCGTCCTGCACCAGTGTGCGCTCGTGCCCACGTGGGTGTACCTGCAGTCCTACTGCCTATCTATCTACTTGCCTGCCTATCTATCTACCTATCTATCTACCTATCTATCTATCTACCTATCTACTTACCTACTAACTAGCTAACTAGTTTTGTATCTTACTGACCATCTGCCAGATTGCTTTCCTGCCTGCCCGCGTCTCCGTTTGTCTGTGATTGTCTCCAAACACGTCTCTCTGTCTGCCTGTTTATGTGTTCGTCTATATGTTAACCTGCCTGTTTGTCTGTATACTCGCCCGTCTGTTTCATGTCGGCCTCTCCCCTCCACGCGCCACGTCGGCCTCTTTCACATGTGTGCCCAGGCATGGCCTCCACCACCAACATCCTCGTTCGCTTCTTCGTGCCCGTCATTGCGCTGACGGACGCGGGAAGACCGTAAGTGTACGACACTGTAATTCAATGTGTAGTATACAGAGACCGTGGTTCAATTTAATCCTTTCTGTGTGTGGTTGGATAAACGAATGATATTTGAAGAGGTCCGAGCAGATCACTGATTTCCTGGTATGATGCTGAAGGAAAGGCTTTCAAGGACGGTTACTGTCGCCGCTGTCGCCGCCATTACCGCCATCACTACGCAGCGCCACCACGGTTTGGCGTGAGAAATACGTGAAAATAACATGGCTTTAACGGTTATTTGGGCCCCCATCATCACTTAAGCCGGCACTGTCGTGACTGTTGCCACCGCTGTTGCCCCAACTCCACCCCTGGGCCCATCATCATCGTCATCATCACCATCGTCATGATTGCACCCCACACCGCAGGGTGGTCGTTCAGCGGTACATTTGCTGGATGCACACCACCCCCTCCATACTCATGCTTTTAAAAATGATCTCCACAACCATCACGCCTCGGGAGGTGAGGCCGGACGTGTGGGTTTTTGAGGTCGTAACCTTGGGGGTGGGGGGGTGGGGGGATGCCGCGTGAGAGAGAACTGCCATGAAAAACGGCCACGATGAGTTGGGGTGCGTTGGGATGCGAAGTGTGGGCAGGAGATCAAGGGGAGGGAGGCGACACGACACGACATTCAGGAGGGCCCGGAAACAGCCTCTGAGTCCTGTTTGTTCAGATCTCTTTTTAAGTTCCTTAAGATCCAGATCGTAACAAACCTGGGAAATTTCCCTCTCGCGGTGGCACAAGCTTGTTAGCTGCTGACGCACATGGTCCAGCTGCTATAACAGCCCCCTCTGCCTCCCTCCCCTCCTCCTCCCTCCCTCCCTCACCCCGCTCTCTCTTTACATAGTCACAAGATGCGCGGTGTTCCCCCCCCTGACGCTGTGTTCCTCCCCTTGTCTCTCATGCCCTCACCCGCCCCTCATACACTTCCCACACCAACATAATTTCCACTGCCTCGCTACCCCCCCCTCTCTCTCTCTTTCTCTCTCTCTCTCTCTTTCTCCCCCTTCGCCACTTTCCTCCACCCATATGACATGATCAGGTCGGCCTCCCGTGACCCGCCGCCCTCGCTACCCGCCACGTGCCCTCTTTGACGTGCAGGCTGCCACTGCCATCTTGTTCGATGAAGTGATGGTAATCACGGGAGTGGCGGCCCTGCTGACAACTGGCTGGCAGAGAGGTACGGACTCCGGGGCCGTACATCTCGTACATTCACTTCCTTGCTTAACCCCTCTTGACGAAAGCCCAGCATCCAAACACACACTTTGCACGTGATCTCCTCTCCCCCGTACACACGCACACATGAAAAAGTTGCTTCCGTCATGCAGCTCGGTCTTAAGTTCTTGAAATCTAAGCATACGACGCATCACCAACCCAATCTCCAACCCAATCCCCGGGGCCCCGCGCCCAACACTCACCCGCCCGCCCACTTGCCGTGGATATTGGTGTACAGTGCTCTGGTCGGTCATAACACACGTGGCCATGCTGCCGGTGGTGCCGTACATGCATAAGGCCTTTACGGAGTAAGTTGGTTGTAGTGGGGATGAGGGACGCGGTGGAGGTCAGGAATTTCTAACATCGGTATCTCAACCACAAAATGGGGGGTTTTGTAGGGAAGGAGAGCTGGAGGATTGTTTGCAACATGCAGTGGAAGCTGCCGGTGAGGGGGAAGTTGCTTGCGAGGGGCGGGGCTGGGTGGTACAGGGTGTGTGTATGTGTGTTAGGGCTCGGATGTTAAGGGTGCCAGTGGGACGGGTTAAGGTGGTGCCGTACATCGTACACATGACAAACAGCAAGCTGCCACGTCCATGCGTGTACAACTCCAAACATGCAACATATTCAGATGACGCGACACATGCACACACAACCCAGACACGGACACACAGATACCATCTGTACATCTGCACGTACCGATATGTATGTACATACATACGTGCACACATCTATAGGTGCATCACCAGCTCGCTCCGGCAGTACAAGGATGCGGCCGTAGGGGCTGCAGGCAACCGGAGGGTGGCCAGCAGGGACTCGGTAGCCGCAAGGTATCTGCCTTGTCTGTCCGTGTGTGTGCTCGTGGTGACTTTGTGACACCCCCATGTGTGTTTTGATCACCTGAGCCGCGATGTGTGTGTGCGCATGCGCCGTGAGAGGGAAAGGTCGGTTTGTATCCAAAGGCATAGTCGTGAAGAGTGCATGTTGATTCGTGCAGTCGAGTCTGTCAGAGGAGAGGTGCGAGGGAGAGGAGAGGTGCGAGGGAGAGGAGAGGTGCGAGGGAGAGGAGAGGTGCGAGGGAGAGGAGAGGTGCGAGGGAGAGGAGAGGTGCGAGGGAGAGGAGAGGTGTGAGGGAGAGGAGAGGTGCGAGGGAGAGGAGAAGTGGGAGGGAGAGGAGAAGTGGGAGGGAGAGGAGAGGTGCGAGGGAGAGGAGAGGTGGGAGGGAGAGGAGAGGTGCGAGGGAGAGGAGAGGTGCGAGGGAGAGGAGAGGTGGGAGGGAGAGGAGAGGTGCGAGGGAGAGGAGAGGTGCGAGGGAGAGGAGAGGTGCGAGGGAGAAGAGAGGCGCGAGGGAGAGGAGAGGTGTGAGGGAGAGGAAAGGTGTGAGGGAGAGGAGAGGTGTGAGGGAGAGGAGAGGTGCGAGGGAGAGGAGAGGTGGGAGGGAGAGGAGAAGTGGGAGGGAGAGGAGAGGTGCGAGGGAGAGGAGAGGTGCGAGGGAGAGGAGAGGTGCGAGGGAGAGGAGAGGTGCGAGGGAGAGGAGAGGTGCGAGGGAGAGGAGAGGTGCGAGGGAGAGGAGATGTGCGAGGAAGGAGCTTGCCTGCCTTGTCTTCCCTCACCTCCCCTAAATGGTAAAGTGTCAGGGCTCTTCTCCCCCCCGGTGTAGGTATCAGCTTCACTCGTCTGGCTCGTATTTCCCCCCTCGTGGCGCACATCCCCAGAGGCTTTGATTCGCCTCTGTCGCATTCTGCAGCTGCTGCAGCAGCAGCATCAGTAGCACACCTGCTCCAATAGCTGCACAATGCGACAGAGGCGATCATCTTTTTCGAGAAAAAATGAGTCCCAATGAGCCCGGTAAAAATTATAGAGGCTCGGTTCGGCTACACGTTTTCGCAGTCGCAGCAGCTGCTGCTGCCCCTGCTTACTATGCGCCCCTAACATTGACCTGTTTCTGTTGTTCATAAACCCGCTACTCTACCACCCTTCAACCCCCACCTCGACCCCATCCCAATTCCCTCCCTTCCTAATCCCACCCCCCAACGGCCCCTCCCGACTCCTTCAGAGCCATGGAGCAAGTCCGGACTCGGCCGTTGCAGCTTACCATGCTGATCATATATGTGTTGAACTTGGTGGGTGGGTGGGTGGGTGGCCGGGTGGGGGATGCCGTGTCATACGTACTCCATTGCATCCCGCGTGTTTCCCCCGCGTGTGTCGTCATCCTGATTCAGCTCCGGAACCACCGTCCAGCCCGCCGCCCGGCTCGGCTTGCACTATCTGGGACCCTCCCACCCTCCCGGGGGGCCCCTGCACTCACAGCATCCGTCTATCTCTGGTATCTGCTTCACTCGTCAGTGGTTCGTCTTAGCTCACAAACACCCACAGCCCACAAGCAAAGTCGTAATGGGTGTGGATTGAAGTCCTTCACTCGCTCATTCTCCCTTTTTTCCTCTTCCGCCGTCTGCAGCTCTCTGTTTTGGACGTATTGGTCGGCAGTTGGTTCTTTGCGTCTTGCATCGCCATCATGAATATCATCATCATCACCATCACCATCATCATCACCATCATCACCATCATCATCACCATCACCATTACCATTACCACCACCATTATCAATTGATTTATCCCCTCTTTCCCACCCTCTCCCTTTCCCTGCCTGCTTGTAGCTGCTATGGTGTACGTTTGCAGTGACGTGGGACCTGGCGCTGCTAGGCTGGATCAGCGTGCTGACCGAGGAGGTGCTGTACCTGGGGTGCGACTTCTCCGCCAAAGTAAGGGGGGAGGGGGGGAAAGGGTGTGCGCGTGTGTGTGTGGGTTTGTGGAGGAGGTCGTGTGACCGTTAGGGTCGTTAAAGAATGGACGAATGAGGAAGAGTATGTGTGGGCGTGTGTGTATGTGCGCCGTGTGTGTGAGTGTGTGCGAGAATGTGAAGGAAGGTCTGAAGTGAAGCACCAGACGTCCATTCACATCTCCATGATAGACACATAGACGTACACATGTGTGTATGTGTGTGTGTGTTACATGGTCGTGGGTGCGTTCCCCGTACCTGTAAACCGCCCTGATACGAGCCGAGGGCTCAAGATATATATACACATATACATATACACATACACACCCGCACTTGCACATGCGCATATACACATACACCATATATCCCCTCGGGGGCAGGAGGGTTTTGGCAAGAGGGTTTTGTTTCACACACACACACACGGGGGTGATTCTTTGTGGCACATTCCCCTCCTCCTCCCGGGCCCCCAACTCCCCCACACCCGTGCAGGTGTTGTTTTCCTCCACGCTCATGCTCAGCTCGTTCAAGGAGTACGAGGCTCGGAGGGAAAGCGCCATGCGAGTGATTGAGAACAGCAGCAAGGCTAAGCTCATAACGGAGCTGCAGGTGCTGGGTGTATGTGTGTGTATATATATATGGCCCCTACCCATCCCTTTTTTCCCGTGCATATGATTCACGTCCTTTACAAGAGGAAATGTAGATTCAGAAGCTCTGCCTGATCTCTGGCTTTCTCTCTTCTGGCGTATCAGTCTATCCTTGGCATCAGCTTCCCTCGTTCGTGGTTCGTCTTCCTTCCCCCCTCCCTTAGCTCTTTCCTTAGCTCCTTTATTTCGGCATCGGATTTCATTTTTTTTTATTCTGGGTTGATTTATCATTTTGCAGATATGGTTTTCTGCCCCACCGACCCTTCCCGCGATACCCTTTACGGCCTCTGCTTGTAACTCAGCTTATGACCCCCGAGTTATGTACACACCTAATATATGTACACACACACATACAGCCACACAGCCACAGTCATAGTCATAGTCACACTCTTAGTCAGACGCACCTGGTTCGTGAAGCTACATGTGTTCTTCATGCGCTTCCCTCTTCTCTCCCACCGCACCTCCTCTCCCACCGCACTACAACACACACTACACCATGCTTGCCTGTGACCTCTCCTCCTTCTCCCCTCCTCCCCCCCCCCCCCCACACACACACGCATACCCCTTCCCTCCCCCCTCACTTCCCCCCTCAATTTTCGCGCCCACCCGCCCACCCACCCAAAGGCTCTATTGGAGCAGAAGGAGAGGTTCATGAGCTCCGTGAGCCACGAGCTGAGGACACCCCTCAACGGCATTATAGGTAACAGGGGGCCGCCGGGTGGAGGCGAGGGAGGAGGGGGAAGGGGGAAGACTCAGCTGCGGCCACGGAAGGGGGGGCCCTGCCAGGGGGCCAGGGCACTCTCTTGCACTTGGGTGGGTACCTCTCCACCTCTCCACCTCCTCCCGTACTTGTGGAGTGCTACACAATCCCCTCTTTTGTACTCCTCCACCGCCTCCAACCCGCCGCCTTCTTCGGCCGCTATCCTGGCCCCACATCCTGACATCTTTACATCGTAACATTCGATTGCATTTGTCTCGATTGTTTCCAATGTCCCCGGGGGGCTGCAGGCTCGTCTTGACACTTTTGACTTGCCCACCATCCCTACCCGCTGCACCTCCCCATCCGCGCGCGTGCACAGGCATCTCCGAAGGCATGCTGTCCGGCTGCTGCGGTGTGCTTCCCGAGGGTGTACGGCGGCAGATCTACATTATCCGTACATCAGGTGCCCGGCTGTTGGCGCTCATCAATGACGTCATGGACGCAGCGGCTCTTCGACAAAATAAGCTGGTGCTCAAACAAGAGCAGGTGGGGAGCGGGGGAAGGGGGGCAGGCGGGATTTGATGTGCGCAGGCCGCCGCACAATGCATTGCCTGCCTATAACCGTGGTCAAAATTCTCTTTCCTCTCCCTCCCCCCTGTTTGGGGAAAGTAGCTAGCTCGAATGCTGTTTTGAAATGCAATTGTTGATCTCCCCCGACGGAGAGCTCTTTTCCTTCACCGTGATTGCTTCATCCGCCTCCTAACCCTGTGTATTAAACCTCCTATTGAATACCCATCATTCCTAGGTGAACTTTCTACAAAACCTCTTTGTTCTGTAAAAACACTAACTATTCCTTCTTCCTTATGGTATGTATCCCTCCCCTCCCCGCCCCGGCCACCGCCGACTGGTCAGTTCTGCTTTTTATACACCTGCTGCAGCACTCTTTCCTTGGCAACAACTTCACTCGCTCGTGGTTCGTCTCCCCCCCCCGCCTCGGGAGTATCCGTCTATCCGTGATGTGTGATTCAAGTGTCAGTGGTTCGTATTTCCCGTGCTCCCCGCCCTCCCGCCCTTCCTTCTCCCCTCTTCCCTGCCCCGGTGCTGCCGAAGGTTGTTCTTCGTCACGTGGTCGATGACGTGTTGGACTTGACTCGGTCGCTGGTGGATAGCGAGGTGGTGCTGGCGAATTTGGTGCCTCCCCGCATGCTGGTTATGGGGGACTCGGGCAGGATTGTGCAGGTGGGTGGGTGTGGTTGGGGGAAGAAGTGGCGCGGGAAGGGGGCCGGGAGGGGCGCCCAGGTGTTGTATGTATTTGGGTTTTAGGGTTTTAGGGTTTTAGGGATGGTTCTTGGAGGGGGGGGAGTGGCTTAAGAGCGTGAAGTGGGGGGTGGCATGTAAGTGGGAAAATGGCCGGTTTATTTGGGGTGGTGGACGGCAGGCGGGGTTGGGGCTTGACGGGCGGTGTTTGGGGTAACGAGAGGAGGGAGGGGGGTGCGGAAGTCCCCGTGTTTTTTCCCTCTACACAAGGACGCAGCCCCCACATGGCTCAATTCCTGGTTCAGTCTGCTTGCTGCCTGCTACTGTGTTTTGTTTGCAGGCTGCCCTCATCTCTTCGCAACCTCCCCCCCCCCAACACGTCCAAACTCCAACTTTGGACGTGTTGGCAGTTGATTTCCGGCTTCTTCTTGCATCATTATCGTGTGGAGTGACGGCTCCCCCCCCCACCCCGCCCCGTGCCTCTCCCCCCCTCTGAACCCCTGCTTGCCACCCTCTCGCCCCTCCCCAACTTTTTCGCAACAGATTCTGAACAACCTGCTCGGCAATGCCGCCAAGTTCACTCGTCGCGGTCAGATCCGTGTCACTGCGCGTCAGGTGGAGGGCGGCAGGCGGGTGGCGGTGACCGTGTCGGACACGGGTATTGGCATTCCCAGAAACAAGCTCGCCACCATCTTCCTGCCCTTCGAGCAGGTGGGTGCACGTGTACACTACTTGTTGCGCGTTTTGTTGCTGTCGGTGGTTGCAGGCGCTGCAGGTAGGGTGGAATTATGGTACGGTGCAAAAAGCATTTTCAACTGCCGACGGAGTGTGTGGGAGTGGGAGTGGGAGTGGTAGTTTCCAAAGGTCTTCACGTCTCCCTGCTATGTATACCGTAAGCCCACCGGCACGCATTCGGATTCCGCTCGCCCTCTTCTGCACCTCCCACCTGACGCGTTTGCCCTTCGTGCCCTCTCCCCCCCCCTCTCCTCCATCCCCCTCTCCTCCATCCCCCTCCCTTCCCAACAACTCACATCAGGGTTTCCCTCTTCCTCCTCTCCTCAACCTTACTCCCCCATCTACCCATTCTGCCCTTCCCTCCGCTTGTAGGTGGATATGTCCATCAGTCGCAAGTACGGCGGATTCGGTTTAGGTCTCAATATCGTACAGGAGCTGGTCAAGGCACACGGTGGCACCATCAACGTATCCTCCATTGAGGCCAAGGGCAGCGCCTTCACATTCACATTGCCGCTGGCGAGGTGCGTGGGCGGGGAGCGGGAGGGATACGATGTTGTATGATGTATGATAATGGCAGCAAAGCCAAGAAGAACAACAACAGCCGACTGGCGTCCAGAGAGTTGCGAGAAGAGCTGCTGCTGTAGGGAGTCCGAAGACATGCCATGCCGTGAGATGCCATGACACGCACGTGTTGTCCTTCTGTGTGAACTGTGACAGACATGGCAGATGTGACACGCAACTGCTCCTCTGCCCGGAGGGGGAGGGAGGGGGTGTGAGGGAGGGGAAAAAGGGGGGGGCTTTCGGGGAGGGGGAAAGGGTGAGTACGGGGGCGGGAGGGCGGGGCGGGACGGGCCTTCGTGGACTTCGGAACAGTGCACGTCACGACTGTATCAGAGAGCCACTACTACACATCACACTATTACACTCGCTGCAGTGTGTTGCGCTGTTCAACGGAAGCGGCATACCTGTGTTACTTCTTCATAAGGCAAATCTAAAAAATACTGACATAAATACATGCATATATATGTATATGCTGCGGGTTGATGTGGTAGTGGGTGATGGTGAGGTGTTGTTGTTTGCGTTCCCTTCTCACTACGCGCACACACAAGCACAGGCCCATGGGTCGGGAATCTCTGGAGGATGCTAAGGCGGCGGCCCAGAGAGGCAGCAGCCTGGCGGGGGCCACGCAGGATGGGTCGGTATCCACCGGAGGTGCAGGAGCGGCTGCTGCGGTGGCGGCGAGGGGGGAAGGCGGCCCCAGGGGCAGCGGCGGCGGCGGCGGTGCCGGTACGGCCACTGGCACTGGCACTGGCACTGCCAGCGCGACGGCGTCGGGCGTGACGCCGCGGCTGGGCGACGGCGGCGGCGGCGGTGCCGGTGACGACAGCAGTACGGTGATGACGGGCAGTGACGTCAGCCGTCTGCCTGGCGGCGGCGGCCGGGGCCTGGGTCCGGGAGCTGGGGGAGGCCTCGGAGGCTCCGTGGCGGAGTCGGAGCTGGAGCAGTACGGTGCGTGGAGAAAATGTGCCCATGTGAATATGTGAATATGTGCCCATGTAACTATGTGAATACGTGCCCATGTGCCCACGTGTGTATGTGTGAATGTCTCCTTTTCCCCCCTTCCGGTCCCTTTTCCTCTTTTTCCAGCCTCCTTGCCACACTGGATGTCCGTCTTAATGTCCGTTTCCGTTCTCTTCAGGCGTATCTTTGACTTCCATTTCTCTCCCCCAGCTGCCTCACTCCCTCTGGGGGCCGGGTGGGGGGGTAGTGGCGGGTTTGGGTCTCGGAGCCGATATTGGCGCGTGCTCTTGTCTGGTGTGTACGCGTGTGTGTGTATGTGTGTGTGTGTCACATCGTGTCGTGTCCTATAGCTGGATTGGATTTGGTAGTGCCTTCTTCATCGCTTTTGCTGTGTATGTTGATCGCTCTCACCACAGCACCCACCGGAACTCTGTCTTCCCAACGCTAATTCCCTCTCTCTCTGTGTATGTATGCGTGTCCATGGCCTTCCGGGGTCAGGCGAGCTGATGTACAACGCCGCGGAGCTCTCGGCTCTGGCATCGTCCCGCCCGTACGCCCAGTCCGTACGGGATTCGTTGCCCACCTCACTCGAGAGTGGAAACCCGCCTGCCGTGCAGCCGCTTCTGATTGGTACGGCTGCGGGGGCGGCGATGGCGGGCCACATTGGGATGGGGCCCGGTGGTGGCGGCGGAGGAGGGGGTTTAATGGCGGTGGCTGCTACGGGCAAGGGAAAGGGGGGATTCCGTGCCGGCAGGGCGGCGGCGGCGGCTGGTGTTGGCGACAACGGCGTTCGTACGGCAGGCGAGACGGCGCCGAACGCGCTGACAAACTTGCCGGGCGGCGACTCGAAGATTGTGCACGGTGAGGCGGGGCGGGGGGGGGCCCGGCAGTGGTGGGGTTACAGCAAGGGGCGGGGTAAAGAGAACAGGTTAGCGAGGTGAGGCAGCAGGATTCTAATCAGAGATACTGAGCGCCTGAGCGGCCTGCTCCGCATACAGTTTATTTCGTGAATTTTTTTTATTAAAACTCAGAAGACTTTTATTAGAGTGCCTGAAACAGGGTCCTTCGGTGCTGTCGGCGGTTCGCCATCGTACGGGTGCGAAAAAGCGATATCGGTCACTGTTCCTTCCTCACACGATATGCAACGGAACGAAAAACGAAGCTGCGCAACTGCACTCGCACAACGCACCCTCCCGCCTGCAGGTCCCCGTCCTTTCCACTACACCATGTACAAGCGCTTCCTGCTGCTGTCCGTGGATGACGACCATGTCAATCAGTCCGTTGTGAAGTCGCTGCTGGGGAGCACGGGTAAGGCGGAGGGGAGGAGGGAGAGGAGGGAGAGGAGGGAGAGGAGGGAGAGGAGGGAGAGGAGGGAGAGGAGGGAGAGGAGGGAGAGGAGGGAGAGGAGGGAGAGGAGGGAGAGGAGGGAGAGGAGGGAGAGGAGGGAGAGGAGGGAGAGGAGGGAGAGGAGGGAGAGGAGGGAGAGGAGGGAGAGGAGGGAGAGGAGGGAGAGGAGGGAGAGGAGGGAGGAGGGAGCACACAGCAAGCGGGCGGATCCTCGCATCATGCATGCCAGCCGCCGTGCAACCCGTCCACTCATTCCTGTACAACCCATCCACCCTACCCCGACCCACAACAACACGCACACTCTCACACACGCACACTCAAACCGTTACGCCGCTGGCCCCCTCCTGCCCCTCCTGCCCCTCCCCCTCCGCCTCCAGGTTACGAGGTGGTTGCTGTTCCCAGTGGCCCGGAGGCCCTCCGCTACGTGGCCACTGCCCCCGCACTGCCCGACCTGGTGCTGCTGGACTGCATGATGCCGGAGATGGACGGGTGAGAAGCGCGGGGAGGGGGGGCGGCGGACCTGGAGGGGGGAGGTTGTGTGTGGGCGCGGAGGGCAAAGACAAGATCCGGACCCAAAAGTGATTCTTGAAGGCGGGACGGGGGTGGTTGAGGCTGTGGGAGGGTGAACGGGAAAGGGGTAATGTGTGATGTGTTCGGAGGGTGAGGAGGGGAAGGAAAGCTGCCCGTACGATCCGGCCGATAATGGGTACGGGTAGGGGTTTTTGGGAGCCCAGGGCAGGGCAGGGCAGGGGAGGGGAGATTACTGTTGTCGTTGGTAAGTGTCAAAGCCATTAAGGACGGGTCATTGAAGGGGAGGGACACGGTCAAGTAGGGAAGGGGGTTTGGTTCCGGATGTACGTACTGCCCCGTACGGCCAGGTGGGTGGAGCGTATCCCCGGAGAGGCGCCTCCGTTGTGGGAGCGGTCCCCGCGGTCCGGAAGCGGCTGAAGTCCCCCGTCCTCCCCGCCTGCCTCTTGCTTCAAGTACCTTGAGTGTACATGTGTATGTAATTTGTAATTTGTAATACATATAATAATACCTATAATACATATAACATATAATACCTGTATGTATACCGATATATAGGTATGTATATATAGGTATCAATGCAGCATGTGTATAGGATGTGTGAGTCTTCCCGTCTCTGTATACCCACTCTCTACCCCACTACGCGAGTTCACATTGTTTCCTAGTATCCGGTATTTATTCGTTCATTTTCCCCTTAATTCCTTTATTGGATGTATTGGATATAGATAGCATGGAACGCCGTTTCTGTTGTTTTAATCCTGACACCGTCCTTTGGTCCCAACCGTCCGCCTCCTCGCCATTCCCCCGAATGATGGGACCAGGTATGAGGTGCTGCAGAGGCTTCGAGCCATGACGCCCAACGTCCACGTGCCCATCATCATGGTTTCGGCGCAAGTACGAGCTCAGTAGGCGGGGGGGGGGAACGGCAGGGGAAGGGGAGGGGAGGGGAGGAGGGGCTGCGGGAAGCCGGGGGGTCTTTAGGAAATGGATTGTAAGAAGTCAGTTAGCTGGACAGCCAGTCCGGCGGGGTGGTTGGATGCGTGGGGGGGAAGACATCCTCTATCGACAGCCTGGTTTTCAGTTACATGCAAACACGTGTTCAAGCGCTGCTTGCGGGTTACACCTTGTATGTATGTCTGACGGATTTGGACGTCATAAAAATCAGGTGGCTTTGGATTTTCTTACGTACCTGGCATCACAAATTCTTTGACATTGATCAGGGTATTGATCCTCTTTGGGTCGGGATTCTACTCGCCGTGAGCGCGATTTACATAGCCATCGACCTCGTACACCATCGCTTACATTACCGCGTTGGTGTGTGTTTTTATCACCCCACCCCACCCAGCCCCGCCCCGCCCCGGCCCGCTATCGTTGCTCCGTGCAGACGGAGGAGGAGCACGTGGTGTGTGGTCTGGACCTGGGCGCTGACGACTACGTGACGAAGCCCTTCAAGCGCAATGAGCTGCTGGCGAGGATCCGGGCGCAGCTGGCGTACGGCGAGTGGGAGCATGATGAGGGTGCGTGCGGTGTGCGCTGTCACACACACAACACACATTTAGCAGGTGTAAGCTGTAGAAGTTTTGGAACGGACGCCGTATGACGGACGTGTACATGTATGTGTATGTGTGTGCGTGTATGTGTATGTGCGCGTGGACATCTACTTATCCTTGTATGGTACGGAACATTAACATTAACATTTCCTTACCGCCCTCGCCTCCCTGGTCACCCATCCGTGTGCTGCTGCTGCGGTGCTTTGACATTGCCGGCTACCGGGGTCCTTTGATTGCCGGCCGGCCGGCCGGACGGACGGACGGACGGACGGACGTACAGATGCATTGGAGACGATATCAAATCTGGTCATAGCTGACCCACATGGCGGTATCGGTTTGGGCATCGGTGGTAGCGGCAACGTCACGCACCGGGGGGGCAGTGAGGAGCTGGAGAGCGGCAACGGGGACGCTGCCAGCGTGACTGCCGCCGCTGCAGCGGCGGCGGCGGCGGCGGCGGCGGCCTCCACGGCGGGCGGCACCATCGCGACGGCTGCCGCCGCTGCCGGCAGCGCCGCCGGTGGCGGCAGCGGCAGCCTGAGTGACCAGCGGCTGATTGTGTGTATTGACGACGATGACGTCAACCAGGTGGTGCTCCAGGGAATGCTCGCGAGTCAGCATTACCGCTACGTAAGGGTGAGTGAGTCAGTTAAGAGGCCGAAACGGAGTCTTCTCACTTACCGCGGGGCTTTTGTTGCGGCTTTTTAAAGATGATACACAAGGTTAGACGACGGGCTCGTGTTGTGGTTGGTTCGTTTGGGTCCCGGAGTGCAGGACGACGCCACCCTCGTCGCTGGGTGGCGCGTTTTATGAAAAGGCGTGTTCCGGGACAAGTGGCAGCTTTGTGTTTGTTCCACAGCAGCAGCGAGTTAGAGAGGTGCACTGCCTGAGGTGCTGCGGAACCAGCAGAGGACCCAGCAGAGGACCCACCCACCCACCCACCAGTGTGTATTCCGAATGTAATCTCCGGAGGCCGCCTTTGTCAACTTTGTCAACGCCATCCCGCCACCCCGCCTCATACATGTGTACATCCAGCCGTGCCGGCCCCTCCCGCCTAACCCACCCGCCTAACCCACCCGCCTATTACCTCATCATCACTTTGGGCTCCTTAGGCAGTTGTTAGGCTTCCGTGGACGTTAATATTCGGCAGTTACTGTTCTTAGGGTTCCCTTATTTCTTTCTTCCCCACCCACTCTTCTCCTGCTCTTCGCCTGCTCGCCCCACGTCTTTGAGTCTGAGAAAGGGTCGTAAGCTGTTTCCATTTGTCCTTTGCAACCCCTTCCAACCTTAAACCCTTTCCTCACTTTGCTGTATCCTCCCCTGTGTCCGCCAACCAGGCGAGCACCGGCGCCCAGGGCTTGTCGTACGTGTGTGGAACGCACAACGGCGGCATTCCGCCCGACCTGGTGCTGCTGGACTGCTCCCTTCCCGACATGACGGGCTTCGACGTCTGCCGCTGCATACGGCAAATGTACAACAAGCAACAGGTACGACCGGTCGTACGTACGCGTGGAGGCGGTCGTGTGGTTTTCTCCATTTCCCCTCATGAGTTCAAGGTGGCGGGACGGGACCCTGGACCAGGAACGGGCCCAAGACGGGACAACGAAACCCTTTCCCCCGGCTTTGCCCTCTTTCCACCTCCCCCCCTACCCTTGCCCTGGCAGCAGCTTCACTCGCTCGTGGTTCGTCTTTCCCCCCCCTACCCCCTGGTTATGCCTTCCTTACTTCTGGCGCATCAGTCTTTCCTTCGCATCAGCTTCACTCGCTCGTGGTTCGTCTTTCTCCCCCCCCCCCCACACACCATTCTTCCCGACCTCTTGCGATTGCCCTGGTGTCCCTCTCCTCCCCAGTCCCATATCCTGTGAGGTGTGATGGTGAACGCGGTATTACGCTCCTCGCCCCTCCCCCTGGATCGGAGAGTGCGGTCCTTACCCAGAACCCCAGGTCCTTACTTTCCGTGTGCGCTCTCCCCCACCACACCACGTGGCCTGAGTTCGGGTGGTGATGACATTTGCTGATGACTTTCGATTGCTGTTGACTGACTGCTGCCACCGCTGCCACCGCTACCACCGCGGTATCTCGGCTTGCCTGCCCATACCTCCGTGGTTCCTCCGTGCTGCCTCCGTGGTTCCTCATCCAGGTTCCCGTCATCATGTTGTCAGCCCGCCACAACGAGAGTGCGGTGGTGGAGGGCCTCAAATGCGGCGCTAACACGTATGTCACGAAGCCATTCAGGTACAAGCGGGTTTTGACCACCTCTGAAACCAAGGGAGTAGGGGAGGGGCAAGGGGGGAAGGGGGAAGGGAGTGGCAAGGGGGGAAGGGGGAGGGGAGGGGCAAGGGGGGAAGGGGGAGGGGAGGGGCAAGGGGGGAAGGGGGAGGGGAGGGGCAAGGGGGGAAGGGGGAGGGGAGGGGCAAGGGGGGAAGGGGGAGGGGAGGGGCAAGGGGGGAAGAGGGAGGGGAGGGGCAAGGGGGGAAGGGGGAGGGCAAATCGGAAATCATGTGCAAGGGGAAAAGAACATTGGCTTTCGACGTCCGAACTGCACCAGGCGGACGGGAGAGAAGGCGGGGGGGGGGAGAAGGCGGAGGGAGGAAAAAGTGCACTCTCTCTGACAGAGGATGGCCTGTGTATATTGGAAGCCATCATCCACCGGGGGGACCGTGATGTGCAGACATGAGTCCTGTTATTTACCTTGCACGCTTACATTTTTAACTGATCCGCCTTATCATCCTCTTGATCCATATACCTGTCTGTCTGCACACCTACCTACGCAACCAACGCCATACGATCTGCCTCCTTCCTTCCCCACCACCTCAGGCGGAATGAGCTCCTGGCGCGCATCCGCCAGCACCTGCGCTCCAGGGAGCCTGTCCCTGGCCTATCGCGAGGCGACTCGAGTGTGGAGGAGAGCGATTCGCGGCTCGGACACGCCGCCATATCACCCCTGACGGAGCCCGCATTACCCGCCGGCGTACAGCACCCGCGGGCTAGTGACGCGGCGGGGGGGGTTGGCGGAGCAGGGGGGGACGGCTCTGGTTCGATGGTTGGCGGCGCGGCGGCGGGAGTGGAGTCCGTAGCTGCCACCGCCACTGCCACCGCCGGAGCCCGCGGCGGTGACGCCGTTGACGGCGGCAGCAGCGGCGTGCGCGTCTGGACAGATGCGGCTGTGCTAATAGTCGCGGTGGCCGATTACACGGGATTGTGTCGCATGCTCATGCCGGCGGAGATGGCCGAGCTGTCGGCGCGCATGGCAGCTGCGTTTGACCGTGCAGTTGCGACGTACGGCGCCGTAAGGATTGAGGCCAGCAGTGGTGTCATGTCGGCTGCCGTGCTGCCGTCGGCGCCGCGGCCTCTGCTACCTGCCGGCGCCGACGCCGAAGCCGTCAGCGCCGCAGCGGCGGCGGCGGCGGGCCTGCGCCTGGCAGCCCTCCACCGCGTCGGCAGAGCCCTTCTCGAAGCTGCTGCCATGCTGCCAGTCCCCGGCACCTCGACCTGCCTCCAGCTGCAGGAGGCTTTGGCGCTGGGCACTATCATGGGAACATGTACGGCGCCGGCGGCCGGATCGACGATGCTGTACTTTGGTCCCGTGCTCGCCGAGCTCCTCGACCTGGCGCGCCGTGCGCCACCCATGACGATGGTATCGCCGGACGGCGAGGCTCAGGCTTTGAGAGCCAGCGGCGCAACGGCGGACATTCGCGGACCGCTGTTCCTGGAGGCGGAGGATGGCGGGGGTGGCAGCGGAGCCGACAACGGCGGCGGCGGCGGCCCCGGCGCCGGCGGAGCGGCTGCTGCCGTCGCTGCGCGGCGGATGTGGCTCGTGGAAGCACACCCCTTCGCGCACCAGTACCTGCCGCCGCAGTTGCTGTACTCGAACAGCTTAAGAGGGCCGTCAAGCTTCTTTCAGCGGTCGTTGAGTATGTATCAGCAGCAAAAGCAATTTGAGTCGTCTGATGTGGCGGAGAGGGGCGGCTCGGGGTCAACTTCCTTGCACCTAGGCACCGCTGCCGGCACCGCGCTGGCGCATCATCCGCCGCCGCCGCCGCAGCAGCAGCAGCAGCTGCAGCAGCAGCAGCGGCTGCTGTCAATGCAGCCGCAAGGCAGCATCCTGACGGAGGCCCCGGCTGCGATGGGCCTGTCCTTGCCTGGAGCCGCCGGCGGAATGGCCGCAGCCGGCGGCGGCGGCGGCAGTCCGTTGTCGACAATGCCAGCAGCGCTCATGACGTCGAGCGATACCGTTGCCGGTGCAGCTGCAGCCGGCGCTGCCGCCGCCTCTGCCAGCAACTCCACTGCCGGTTTCAATGCCAGCATGGGCTTGTACGGCTATGGTGTAGGGATGTCTCGCGCCGGCTCGCGCGCCTTCAGCCAGGCGGCATATGTGGGAGCCGATTCTGAGGCATTTGGCCGTACGGGCCAGGCCCAACAGTCGCCGGCTACCGCGACGCCATCCTATTTGCATCTCGCACTGCAGCAGGTCGTCCGTCCGGCCTCTAGCACCGCAAACATACACGCGGCCGTTAGCGGCAATGTGGGCATCGCGGGTTACCCAAGCGCAGCTGCCGCCGCAGGTAACACGGCCGCTGCTGGCGGCGGCGGCGGCAGCGCTGGTACGGCGGCAAGTACGACGCCCGGTGGCGGCGGGGGCGTCATCAGCGGTGTTAGCGGTCACCTGCTACAGCAGCACGTTTCGGGCAGTCCCACGGGTCACAATAACGCTCGTGAGTCGGCATCCGGAGCTCCTTGCATCACATTCAGCTTGCAAGCTGCCGCCGCCGCCGTGGCTGCAGCGGCTGCAGCGGCCGGGGTTGCCGGGGGTCGCGGCGGCAGCGGACATTTCGGCAGCTTGCAAGAGCCGTTGCCGCAACAAGGCAACAGTATGGCCCAGGTCAACAGCCTCGGCGGGGGCCTCCCCTCCGCAACCGGCCTGCCTGCCGCGTCTTTACTGTACGGCATCAACCAACGCGCATCTTCGAATGCCTCGGCCGGAGCTGTAGTCGCCGGCGGCAGCGGCCTACTAGACGCCGAGGTGACGGCAGCGGAGCCTCAGATCCGCGCGCTGCGGAGCGAGCTTGCTGCGATGCGGATGCAGTTGGAGGCGCTGCAGTCGAATGCTGGCCGCGATGCGTCTTCTCAGCTTGCGGCCATGCCTGGTGCGTCTGCAGGTCCGTCGGCGTCGTCGTCCATAAGCCCGCTGCACCAGCAGGGCGCACACCCGGGGACTCAGCAGAGGCGAGATGACTTTGTGCGGGACGGCGGCGGCGGCGGTGGAAGCACGGCGCTGGACCCTGCACCGCGCCCGCTGTACCACCGCGCTGCAATGCCACCGCCGTCGCTACCGCCGTCACCGCAAATGGAGCGGCAGCGCCCGCAGGAGCATGTGGAGGTGATTGGGGGATTGGCGATGCCGGCGGTGCCGCCAGCCTCTGCCGCCGCTGCAGCGGCGGCGGCAGCGCCAGTGGCGGCACCTTCTTCCGCTGCCAGCATCGACGGCGCCGGCGTCGGCGGCGGCAGCATCACGCAGCTTCCCGCTGGGCTGGCGGCCACCGGCGGCAGCGGTGGCGAGAAGGCTGCCTCAAAGAAAGGCTCTAAGCTGTCGCGGCTTTTCGGCAGGGCAACTGGTAGCAAGGGCACCTCCGCTGGGAAGTGAAACGTTAGGTGGGACCAGCGGCGGTCCCTTCAAACAGCTCCAGCGGCGCCTTTTGCCTGAGGGGGGGGGATGGGGGGGGTGTTCGCCGAGGTGGATGATGGTGGTATGGCGGAACCTTTCACGCAACTATGTATGTGCGAGAGATATCCTGTGAGCGCCTCCCTGTTTGGTTTCGTGTTGTGTATTTGGGTGTTGAATGGTGTGGTTTGCGTCGGCCATTGCCGGGTGTGTGTGTGTGTGCGTTGTGCATTGTATTGTAGGAACGAGCGGAGGGGCAATAGAATATATGCCCTCTGTCTAGATATCGAGCCTGTCTGCCTGGTGTCTGCCCTACATTTGGTTGGCCCCCTGTGTGTGAGTGACTCCTGTGACACTGTTTCTGAAGATCTTGTCGTCAGGCCGCCTCCTTGGGCGCAGCAGCTGCTGCCTCTGATCCACACATCCATGTGGCTCAATCTATTTCTCAACTTCGGGGACTGTACGTGAGCGGGCTGCTCGGCTCCAGAGGACGGACGTGAGTCATGAAAGACGCGAGTCTGTGTGGGGAGATTAAGAGGAAGAGCGCTCTCCCGCGTTGTGCGCGAATCTGTATGTATGTATGTATGTATGTATGTATGTATGTATGTATGTATGTATGTATGTATGTATGTATGTATGTATGTATGTATGTATGTATGTATGTATGTATGTATGTATGTATGTATGTATGTATGTATGACGTTGATTACACTGTGGGCTGAAAAGCCGGGGGCCCAGGGCCGAAGCACAGCGCGGGGGGCGGGTGCATACGGCTGGTTAGTCTCATGCACTCCGCCCCCGGGTCAGGCCGCACGGGAAACGACGGCCGGCACGCAACAGCGCTTGTTTGGCGCTCCAACTAGACGGGATCTATGCCCGTTGGTCTCCTAACATAAACGAAGTCGCAACTGGGGGGCTCTTCCTGCCGACCGAACGAACCGAGCATCTCAGAGAGCTCGCTACCAGGACTTGGGCGACCGGGAGCCCGACGAGTCTTCCCGGGCTGGGGAGGTCACCAAGCTCAAAAATCCTCACGCAAAAAAGAGCGCAAAGAGCTCACACCACAAGACGCCAAACAGCCTCCTGAGACTACTACCCTCCTCCGCCTCTCCCTCCCTGGGCTAGTCCAGGGGAGATAGCCCCCGTCGAGGGGGTAACACCGC